CGCCGTCGGGCTCTGCCTCACTCTCTGACAGTCCCGCGCCCCTGTGCCGGGAACATATAGCTCAGCAGGGGATCCCAGGCTCCTGGGAAAGTTCTGGGACCCCTTGGACTGTGGTAGCCCCCGACCCTGCCCCTTCCTCACGTGGCCAGCAGCTCGCTGATGTCCTGCAGGCGGCTCATGTTGGGGAACTTCTCTTGGAGAAGCTTCTTCATCCCACGACTTGCACCCACAGGCACAACTTTGATGCTACTGTAGGAGTTGGAGCGAGTGAGGAGGGGTTAGGGGTCACAGGGTCGGAGGCCAGCCCTACCTCCTCCCCTTTTCATGGTGTGTCAGGGCGTTTACTTTGAGACTGGGCAATCACTGAGTCTCAGCAGCAGCACTGTCATCAGCCACACACAGAGCAGCCCCTGACCCTGGCTCATCCTCCCTACTCACTAGTGGCGGAAATCCAGATCCTGGGAGTCAGGGTTGTAGCTGATGAGAAGGCAGCGCTTGATGGTATTCAGATTCACCTGGAAAGGATAGGATGCGGGCACAACACCATGTCAGCTGCCTTCAGGCCTCACTATATGCTGGAGCCCAAGCCAAGCCCTGCAGGGACCAATGGGGCTGAAAGTGATGTCCATGGACTGCTGGCTAGAAATCCTGGATCCAGCACCCACCAAGGCTGCCCACTCTGGACTCCCTGGTGGTCACATCTAACAAACCAAATGTGGGACCTACTGGTGCCAGAAATTAGGAGCTGTTGCCTTATATCTAACCTCAGATTGTCAACTTCACCTGTCAGCCTCAGTGTCCCTCCTAGGTTGGGGCCATGACAATACAAACCGCACTGCTTAACCAACACTCAATGAAGCACCACAGGCATGACCCACCTGCCAGAAGGGAAGGCAGCTCACGGGGAGGACACACATATGAGATTTGACCTTGGGAGCTGGAGCTCTTCGTTCCAGTGCTGGGAAGTAAGGACTGAGTCATCAACCCCAGGGCCTGTGTGGTACCTGCTACCTGCTGAATGCACCCACATCTAACACCACGCCAGGCCCTGCCCACCTGGTGTACGTTGATGGAGGGAAACAGGTTCTGGAACATAGTGGCCATAAGTTTCACGTGCATGCCATGGGGGCCGAAGCTGTTGAGCACCAGGAGGGGAGGGTGGGTGAACTGCTGCTCGTGCATGCGGTGGCGGCGCAGAGAGGAGACCACGTCACGAACCAGTGTGTACTGCAGGGCAGGGTGAGGAGTGGGTGACCACCAATCACACATGACTGGCGCCAGCTCCTACCCTACATGGTCCTCATACTATCTCCCACCTTACCTTATTGATCCGGAAGGTCAAAGTGGGGCCTCCTGGAAGGCGCATCAGCTTCTACAGAAGTAAAGATCAAAATGAGGGTTGAGGCGTCCATATAGGGAGCAGGGGGAGTGAGAACCTTTGCCCCATCTCTTCAGAGCGTTTACTTTGAAGCCAGAATCATGGCGACTCAGAGGCACATGGGTTCATCAAGAGAGTTGGGGGAGAAGGAGGGTGTAGGGAAGATGGGTGCAGGCATCCACTCACAAAATAGATATTGGTCTCCGTTTTGCTCAGTATCAGGAAATGGGTGACCCCAAGAGGCCCAGCCACTGCCACACAATCCTTCAGAGAATTTTTCTTTCGTATCTGGTATTATAAAGAAAGAGAAACAATTAAAGACCCCCTTTTTGAGCAAAGGTTCTAAATTTAAACTGTTATGCCCTTTCTTGCACCTACCCTTTCAGAGAAGGGGGTGAGAGGGTAGCAGAATGCTCTTGATCTTAACAGCTAATCAGACTTTAGTTCTACTACCGCTTTTGTTCCTTGTCTACTGTATGCTTCGCCCCATTTTGCAGATGAGCCAGCTGAAGCCCAGCAAAGTTACCTAACTTGCTCTACCAGGGGTATCAAACTCATTTTCACCAGGGGCCACATCAGCCTCGCAGTTGCCTTCAAAGGGCAAAAATAATTTTAGGACTGTATAAATGTAACTACTCCTTAACTGTTAAGGAGTTGAAATTACATTCATCCCTTTGAAGGCAACCGCGAGGCTGATGTGGCCCCCGGTGAAAGTGAGTTTGACAACCCTGCTCTAGACCTTTGAGGGAAGTCAAGTTTCCAACCCAGGTTTGCCGATTTGAGTCCCCTCTTAATCACCAGTCTCAGGCACCCAGCCAAGCCCTAACCCGAGTGCGTTCACCCGCACGCCCTCGCTGCTGCCCCGCAAAGCTCCAAGAGGCAGCACGGTAGTCCCCATAAAGGTTCCTTTCTCCAACCAAATAGAAGGAGGCCCCGCGCGGTTGGAGCCACCCCGGCAGCCTCAAAGACGCGACCCAGGCAGACAGGTGGAGGTGGGCTGGTGGGGTGCGGACCTGCAGGCGGGTGGCGGTGAGCGGCTCCATGACCCGCCGTAGGTCCAGGCTGAGCTGCCGCACTCCGCGACCCGCACGGCCGCGGGCGAACACGAACGAATGCGGCTGCGCGGCATAGGCCTCGAGGTTGCGCTGTTGAGCCTGGGCGCGCGCGCGCTTCTGGTACCGGGACTACGGGGGTGAGAGTCGAATGGTGAGCTCTGCGGCCCCCATCGGCCACCAGCCCGCACCGCCCACCTCCCCGGCCGCCGCACCTCACCCGCCCCGACTGCCGCATGCTGCCGTCTAGTCCACCAGCCCCTTCGGCCTGATGCTTCCGGCACCTCTTCGCTCACTTCCGACACCGGTGAGGAGCTTGCAAGAGGCGTCGCTGCGCGGTGACGTCACCCGTTGGGCAACCGCACCAGACAGCGACGGAGTGGGGGAGGGGATGGAAAAAATCAGGCACTAGTCGCGCAGTCAGTTGGGTCGTTGCCCTAAAACGCCAAGACTGAGGGTTCGATCCCCGGTCTGGGCACAACCAATGACCGCGTAAATGGGTAAAGCCACAAATCAATGCCTCTCTCTGAAGCCAATAAATAAAAACTTTAAGAAACCATTGCCTCTATTGCTATGGAGACGCCGGGTGCCTGTTTCTATGGAAACGGGCTAGATCCGCGCCCCTCAGGGAGCTTGTGACAGCTCTGAGAAAGGAAGTAGGGTTCGAATCCCGCCTCAACCATTTCTGCTAGTGGTGCGATTTTGAGAGTCAATTTTCACACCCCTAAAGTAAGTACGATAGTCCTTTAACCCCTGGCCTGACCCGTGAATAAAGAGAGAAGATGTATGCACAGTGCGTGGCACACTGGTGCCAGACACTTGGGGAGCAACCAGAGACAGGGGTTGCACCGTGACCGGTTACTTATGGGCCCCCCGGTTTACTCATTTGGGCTCCCATCTTCTGAGGGCCAAGCTGTCCTCCCCAGGGGTTCCTGACTGTGGTCAGGCTAAGCATGGAAACTCCACATCACCTTCTGGAAACTCCACATCACCTTCTGGAAACTCAGGGTGATGTGGGCCATGCTGAAAAATTCATCCCCTCCTGGTTTTTGCTCAAAGCCCCAGTCTTGGCCTCAGGCCTCTGGCTTCTTCCCCAGAACCTTGTGTTGGGGGAAGGGACAACCCCCAAAATCTCTTTCCCTGTCCCACTTGTTTCCCCTCCTCCTTCTGCCTCCCCTCTTCATCTGTCTCCCCCTCCCCAGTTCTTCCTTCACTCTGTCTTCTCCTCCCTGTCCATCTTCCTCTCCCCCAACTTTGTTTCTGCTGTCAATTGTCTCTTTCACAACCTCTAAGTTTCCATCTTTCTCTTTTCTCTCTCTCTCCCCCATCCCCTTCTCTCACATCCTCTCTCTTCTGACTCCCTGTTTCTCCCCATTTCTCCCATGTCTCTCCCCTTCTCTCTCTCTCAGACTTACTCTCCTTTCTGTCAGCCTCTCTGTGACTTAGGTTTTTTCTCTCTCTGCTGCCAATAAGGGAAGCTGGAGGGGGCTGTGGGCGGGGGGGGGGCAAGGGGCCCAGCCTGGCAGCCTCTCTCAGATCTGGGAGGACCATTTCCTCTTACAGCACAGGAGTCCACTTGGATTACAAGTTCAGGACGGTAGGAACAGGGGAAGAAGGCTGCTGGTCTGCTGGTTGGTGGGCAAGGCCTTCGTACACATTGGAGAGCCCAGACCTGTGCTTTGGGGACCTGTGTGAGTCTCTCTGTACCCCTGAGAAATGGCTGTATGGTTACTTCCGCCTGTTTCTGTCCCTGCATGACTTGCACAGAGTGAGGATGTGATGGTGTGTGTGGGAGACAAATGGCAACATGCACACTATGGTGGGGGGGGCGGGTATCATGGTCTTGCTGTGTTTTCCTTTAAGTCATGATGTATATGTCTGTGTGTGACCATATTTTGAACACACAACTGCTGCCTAAATCTGAGTTGTGTTTCCAGCTGTGTCTTTGGTCAAAGGAATCTGTGTATGAACATGCCAGGCAAACACACACACAGATCCCATCTGTGTATCTTTGCTGCTTTGTGCAGCAATTTGCATATGTTGTTGGGTATCTGTGTGTCTTCATGCTTCATTGTTGTGTGCACATGGGTGTGTGTGACTGTCACAGAATATACACGTGCAAGTTTTAGACAAGCTACCTGGGCCAAATCCCACTGCAGACTCTTTTGGGCTGTGGCACTGTGAGCAAGTTACTCACCCTCTCTGAGGCTGAGTTTTCCTTGCTGCAAAGCAAGGCTACACACAGAAGCCAGCTAGGGTTGCGAGGATTACATGAGATAAAAGGTGTAAAGAGCTTAGAGTCATGGCTGGCACACAGCAGGTGCCACTGGTGATGTTGGTGATTGTCCTTTTCTGTGCATGTGCATATGTCTGTGTCTGACGCTGGACCTCCCTGGCTTCCTGGGGCTTGCAGCCTCCCACGCTCTATGCTCCACTATGGGGGGAATGTCCAGGGCACTGACCTGTGTTATCAGGCTCTGGTGGCCTGGGCAGGGGTGTCTGGCAATTTGGGCTCAGTTCTCATACGGGAAAGGCTAAATATTTACAGTTGGAGCTCCTGGGCTCAGCATCACAGCTCTAGTCTCAGGCTCCAGGGATTCAGCGGAGTGTGGGGTTACCAAGTCTCCTCCCTCCTGCTCTTCCACCAGCTCTTCCCTTCCTCAGCTCAGAGGCCCCTGCTGGACTAGACCCTTGGCTTTTCCTCTGACTTCTGTACCTGCTACAGGCCTCCTCACTGGATTCAGCATCTTGGTGGTGAGAGGTGAGAGGGCAGGTGGAGGCTGATTCTGTCCATTGACATACCTGGGCTTCTGCTTGGCTGGGGGGCTTCCCAGGCCACTTCCTTACCTCGGACTGAGATCCTGGTAGGCAGTGGATGTTACATACTCTAGCTCCAGGGGATGTAGTCCATTGCTTTTGTTGGGGGTCTGGTGTCTTTGGGGCAAGGAGAGGACCCTCCTCTGCCCTTGGGAGCTCCAGTGTGATGTGTGAGCTCAGTCATGAATGTGTCTTTTTCCACCTCAGAACCCCTCCTGTTTCCCACATGAGCCAGGGTAAAACCCAAGTCCTCCTTGAGACTCTCAGGGTCCTGAACACTTTGTTGCCTCACCTTCTTACCCTCACCTCCTTTCACTCACTGTTCCAGCCTCACAGGCCTCTCTGCTATTCCTTGGGCACGTTAGCAAGCTCCCACCTCAGGGCTTTTGCACTTGCTATTCCCTCTGCCGGAGTGTCCTTCCCTTTCTCTCTTTTCCTTCAGGTCCTCACTCAAGTGTCAATTCTCTTTATTTTTTTAAGTAATTTATTTATTTTTCAAAGAGAGGGGAAGGGAAGGAGAAAGAAGTAGAGAAACACCAATGTGTGGTTGCCCCTCACATGCCCTCAGTTGGGGACCTGGCCTGCAACCCAGGCATGTGCCCTGGCTGGGAATCGAACCAGTGACACCTCGATTCACAGGCCCGTGCTCAGTCCACTGAGCTACACCAGCCAGGGCTTCATCTTCTCTTTAAATAGAGGCCTGAACCCTCTATTTAAAATGCCTCTCCCAGCCCAGGATTCCCATCCCTTTCCCTGCTTGAGGTTTCTCCTACACACTCATCACCCTGACCTATCTGCCATCCATTGTCCCAGCCAGGATGTCAACTTTATGAAGGCAGGATTTTGTCTGTGTTGGTCATGGCTGAGTCCTCATCGCCTGGAACAGCTCCTGGCACACAATAGGCACCCAAGGAGTGTTTGTTGAATGTGTGAAAGAGATGTGTATGATGATCAAGACCATGGGACACGTGCCCGTGTGGCCACCAGGGCGTGTGGGTTGGGATGTAGTGTGACTTGGTGCAGATGGGGGTGGTATGTGGACATGTGCTAAGAGTTTTGAGTGTCAGCAAGTGTATATGTGAGGCATGTGTGTCCTCCTTGGAGAGGCGGTTACCCCCAAGTATGAATGCAATGGGAGCCTGTGTGTGGATCCTACAGGGTCAGGTGTAGGTGGCCATGAGTACACATCCTTGAGTGAGGACACTTGGAGGTCACCTGTGTAAGTTGGGTGACACCTGGGGGACACAGCAGACCTGGAGCACGTGGGTATTGGGGGGGTATGTTTTGATCTGAGGACATGGGAGATGGCCCGTCCATTACTAGACTGAGTGAGACTTGCCCCTCACCCTACCTCATCCCCTCCCACCCACGCTTCTCCTGCTTCTGCTCCAGCCTCCTAAGGTGTTTTTTTTAAAAAAATACATCAGCATGATTTAGCCTCATGCTGTACATGTTGTTCCCCCGCAAGGGCTCCTCTTCTCCCAGCCAGACATCCCCATGGCTTCCTCCTTCAACCCCTTTCAGGTCTTTAGTCAAACGTCACGTCCTCCAGGTCTTCCTCTCCTCTCAAATTGCTGCTGCATAGATCCCCCGTGTCTCTCCTAGCACCATCTAAAACATTTTATTAATCTCATACTTTATTTTGTTCCTTGCCCACCAGGGCAGGGATTTTGTTTCTGACAGTATTACCAACGCCTAGAAATGAGGCCGGCACACGGTAGGCACTCAGTGAAGGCTTGTTGAGTTCTGTCCCGCAGGGTGCCTGGAACTCAGTGGAGAGGCCTGGGCAGGATCCCACTGGGTTGCCTCCAGGCTTGGGGGTGGGGGGAGATATAGAGGTGGGTGTGTGTGGACCTGGAGTCATAGAGGTGTAAACACGCGCATTGGGCGCAGTTGGGTTTAGTTCAGCCTGAGAGTTGGTCTAGTCTGGGTTCCCCGGCCCTCCTCTCCCTCCCGTTTGTCCTCTGCCTGCAGGTCCGCCATGTGGGTACCAGACCTACACACGCTGCAGCTGCTGCTCCTGCTGGGCGTTTCATGGGCGCGGGCGGCCCCCTCGCGCTGCACCTACACCTTCGTGCTACCCCAGCAGAAGTTCACAGGCGCAGTGTGTTGGAGCGGACCGACTGCGCCGCGCCCAGCCCCGGACGCCCTGAACGCCAGCGAGGTTGCCGCGCTGCGCGTGCGTGTAGGCCGGCACGAGGAGCTGCTGCAGGAACTCCAGCGTTTGGCGGCGGCTGACGGCGCAGTGGCTGGCGAGGTGCGCGCGCTGCGCAAGGAGAGCCGCAGCCTAAGCACGCGCCTAGGCCAGCTGCAGACGCAGCTGCAACACGAGGCGGGCCCGGGGGCGGGGCCAGGCCCAAGGGCGGAGCCCGCGGCTGCGCTGGAACAGCTCGGGGAGCGCGTGCTCAATGCTTCCGCGGAGGCACAGCGTGCAGCCATTCGCTTTCATCAGCTGGATGTCAAGTTCCGAGAGCTGGCACAGCTAGTTAGCCGTCAGAGTAGCCTTATTGCCCGTCTGGAGCGCCTGTGTCCGGGTGGCGCGGGCGGGCAACAGCAGGTAACCTCCGTTGTATCCCCCAGAATCGCAGCCTGTGTGCACTGTGTGTAAGATGGGCCTCCTGCAACCCCACGATCTCTTATCTGTATTCCAAAACCCGAAAAGTTCTGAAACCCATATTCTTGCCTCTCCTATAATTCATTTGGGTCAAAACTCAACAGTGGCTACTTAAAATCTTTACTTACCCCCTTCATATAAATATTCTTAGAATCTTGTAATATTATGTGGATAAAGACCAAAGAGCCATGTTATGGAAGTGTTATGTGATATACGATATAGACTCTGCATTACTGTTTCTAACTCCTGCATTTCTAACTCCTAACTCCTGCATATTTCGAATTCTGGAACGCGTTACTCTGGGACAGTCCCTACCTTACAGAATTGTTAGTACTCAATAAGTTATTACTCATTGTTGGAGCCACTCATATCATTATTTTTACTTTAAAGGAGTTGGAGGCACAGATTGGTTAAGTTGTGCACATCAGAGTAGGAATTTAAGCTCAGCTCTGTCTGTCTGCTCTTGACAGCTAGAGTTAAGCTTTTGGGGAGGATCAATCAATCCATGCCCCTGCCTGATCTGCCCATCTGGGTGCTGAGAGATTGAGCAGCCCAGAGTAGCCTGGGGTGATGGTTAATGCAATCACATCTGATTCTCTTGGTCACCCAGGTCCTGCCACCGCCCCTGGTGCCTGTGGTTCCAGTCAGTCTGGTGGGTAGCACCAATGACACCAGCAGCTTAGACCCAGCCCCAGAGTCCCAGAGAGACCAGACCCTGAGGCAGCAGGGTCCCTTGGCCTCTCCCATGCCTGCAGGGCACCCTGCTCTCCCTACCAAGCAAATGGGTAAGATGACGGCAGGGCTGTTGGGGGGTGTGAAGAGCCAGGTGACTTCCAGTATAGCATGAGCAGAGGGAAATTAGAATCAGGATTTTAATGGTATATTCCTCCGACAGTGAGGAGACTGGAGAAAGTAATACTTTTAATCTGGCGATGGAACAAGGGACTATGGCTTTTACTCTGATAAAGGCCAAAATTTTTACTAGGTACAAAAATAGGAGTAGGTACTTTCATTTTGATGGGGGATCAGGGAATTTAAGATTGCTACTTTGGTGAGAATTTTAACTGGTTCAGAATACCATGTTCAGGACTTTTATCCTGGTGAGACCACATAACCAGGATTTAAAAACTCCAGGATCCACATGTGCTGTAGTGAGAGAAGAGTGACTTCCAAAGAAATTGGTATTGGAGTATTGAATTTTGATGAGAATGGGAGAGGCAGGACTGTTATTCTGGTGAGGGGAACCAGTGAAAACTAGGACTCTTACTCTAATAAGGGGTTAGTTGGTCCAGGCTGTACTTACCCCATATGTCTGTGCCCACAGGCCCATGGCAAGATTGTGCAGAGGCGCACCAGGCAGGCCATAGGCAGAGTGGAGTGTATGAGCTGCGACTGGGCCGTTATATGGTGTCAGCCTGGTGTGAGCAACAGCTGGAGGGTGGAGGCTGGACTGTGATTCAGAGGCGGCAAGATGGCTCAGTCAACTTCTTCACTACCTGGCAGCACTACAAGGTGGGCACAGCTAAGTAGGGGCAGGGCTGGGCAGAGGAGGGGACCTGCTTCTAACTTTCTGACTTTCCTGCCCTGCCAGGTGGGCTTTGGGCAGCCTGATGGGGAATACTGGCTAGGCCTTGAACCGGTGTATCAGCTGACCAGCCATGGGGACCATGAGCTACTGGTGCTCCTGGAGGACTGGGGGGGGCGTGGTGCCCGTGCCCACTATGATGGTTTCTCTCTGGAGCCTGAGAGGGACCACTACCGCCTACGGCTTGGCCAGTATCATGGAGATGCTGGAGACTCTCTTTCCTGGCATAGTGATAAGCCTTTCAGCACCGTGGATAGGGACCGAGACTCCTATTCTGGTAAGGAGCTCTTATTCCTGTGGGGGGTGGGGTGGGAAGGCGGGATTTCTGGTAAGAATGGAAGGTGATAAAATTTCTCTGTGGTAAGGATCAGGGTTTGCAAGAGAACAGGGCATAGGACTTTTATTCTGGTGAAGGGCTGGGGAGCTCAGATTCATTCTGATGAGGCAATAGTGTCAGGACTTTTGTTCTGGTGGGATGCACGGGGGACTCTTGAGAGCTAAGACTCTTATTCTATAAAGGAAGTGGAGATTTTTCCCCCTGGTAAAGGAATGAGGTAGAGATCCTAGGTTGCAGAAAGGGTGGGAAAAATGTGACTTGTACTTTGGTAAGGGGATAGGGAAGGAATTAAGGCCATTACTTTGAAGAAGAAAGTGAAGGGCTAAGGGATGCCTGGCTAAAAGCCTTGCACTAGTGAGATACTGGTAGATAATTTTATTCTGGTAAGAGAACACGGACTTTCTCTCCCCTTAGGTAACTGTGCCCTGTACCATCGGGGAGGCTGGTGGTACCATGCCTGTGCCCACTCCAACCTCAATGGTGTGTGGCACCGTGGTGGCCACTACCGCAACCGCTACCAGGATGGGGTCTATTGGACTGAGTTTCGTGGAGGGGCTTACTCTCTCAAGAAGGCTGCCATGCTGATCCGGCCTCTGAGGCTGTGATCATCTGTCCCCCAGGTTCCAGGGGATGTTTGTTACCAGGAGCCCAAGTTGTCCTGGCCACACCTCCTTCGTGGTTCAGTGTGAGCCATGTCCCACAGACCTTCCCACTGTGGATCTGTCCCCCAGGACCCTGAAAACAGGACCCAAGAATCCCCCTGCAAACATCTCCGACCCAGGTGGCTCCCCAAGGGCACTTAGATCTTGGTTTGAGCTCATATTTTATAACAACACAAAGTATCCACACACTGTGTCTGGTTTGCATCTGCACCTGGCAGGGGTCACTCCCCGTGCCCGCCCTCCTCCTCCTCCTCCTCTTCTTCTTCTTCCCTCAGGTCCTCCAGGATGAGGTTGTCCAGGTGTTCTAGGAGGCCCCCCTGGCTCAGGCAGGTGGCCACAGTGGAGCCACTGCTGATGTGGGGGTTGCTGGGGTGCAGGACTTTGGGCAGGTGGTTTTGCTTCCGGCTCTTGGGGTGTGCACAGGATGTCCCAGGCACGTGGGGCTCTGGGAAGGGAGGGGTTCTGAGGTCCATGGGCTTGAGGTCACATGAGACTTTGGGGGCAAGGGGTCTGAGGCCATGGGGGATCTGGGAAGGGGAGAGGCTGAGGCCACAGGCTCAGAGTTATAGGAAGTTCAGAGTTGAAAGTCATAGGTGTCAAAGGCACAGGAGACCCAGGGACATGGGCATCACCTGAGACTCCAGGAGACAAAACAGGAACCAAGAATACAGAGACCACAGAGGCAGAGGCCATGGGCCACTGGAGGAAAATTACAGAGCCTCATGGGCAAGACGATGGAAGGTGGCTGATGCTGTGGGAGGTAGTGCTGAAGGCCACAGAGACTGGGGTGGGGCACAGAAGACATGGAAGGAGGGGCCAATGCCATGGGAAGTGGCCACAGGGACTGAGACCTTGGTACTTAAGACCCCAGAGGTTGCTAGATCAAGGCCAAATAGACTGCCCAGAGTGGGGGCACACTCCAGGCCCTTACCTCGCCGGTTGTAGCAGTCGGCAGCTGAGCAGGAGTGGGTGTGGGTGCTGCGGTGCCCCGTGTCCCGGTCCCAGCGCGGAGGAAGGATCCGTGTCGGATACACGGGAAAGCCACATCCATAGCAAGGGGATGGGGATCCCATCTGTGCCCAGCCCCTGGGGGCAGGCAGGGCCGTGAGGGTCCAAGGGTGAGGGTGAGGCTTAGGCTGGGCTGGGGCCAGAGCAGGGAGGGCAGGGCTAAGGGGTGCCTCACCGAAAGTTGTGCCGGCACTTTGGACAGTGGAACTCAGCCACGCCCCACATCTTGTCACATGGCACTGGCTCATAGCGCTTCCTGCATTTCCTACACCGGGACACCTGGGGGTGTGGAAAAGGGAACAGGCTCCCTGTCAAAGGGGAGCTCTGGTAGCTTGATTATTGGGAATATTTACACCATGGAAATTGGTCAACACTACAAATCCACGGTCCCTCCCAGGCTGCAAGAGCTGGTTCTTAAGCATGTACCACAAGCCCAATGGTCAGTGGGTCCAGAAGTCAGATTTGGGGTTGTGGTTTCACGGTCAGGTTTGATTTCTGAGGTAGCTGTCAAACTGTGGAGTCAGAAGTCAAGCTCTGGGGTAAGGGTTGAGCTCCTCAAGTTAAAGATCAGATGTCCAGCTCAGGGTGGGAGTTGGGGTCTGAGACCGAGGTTGAGCTCCCAGAGGAATGATGTTCTTAAATCAGAGCTTCAGACACTGAGGGTGGGGGGTTGGGAGTGGAGTTTAGGGCAGTCAGCAGAATCGAGGTCAGGGGTTGAGTTATCACCTCCTTCCTCTGAGGCACGCGGCGCCACCAGACATGGTCACAGGAGGAGCAGGCAAACTGCCGGTCCACGGCAGGGATGAGGTCTTCCTGGGCACGTTGGAACATGCGCAGGTTGGCTTCCGTCAGTGGCAGGAGGGAGGTCGCCACTGCCTATGGAATTGGGCGGGTGGGCATTACAGTGTGGTCACCCCCCACCCCCAAAATGAACACATGTCAGTGCTACTCTCCGACAGGCATACCTCTCCCCCATGGGTGGCTTCCCTGGTCCACCTCCCCAAGCCCATGTCTTGGACTCACCTGGATGTCCTGGTCCTGCTTCATGTCCTCTGGTGGGTCCTGGGTGGAGACATGAGGGGCAGAGGCTGAGGATTCAGCTCAGGCCTCTTTTCACCTTATTTGTTGGGGGAGGGATCTTGGCCCCATATAGGAGTAGAGTGTTCCCAACTCACAGAGAGCTGATTAAGTGGTACTCGCTTACTCAGTTACCCTTATAGCAGTTCTGAGAGGTGGGCTCACTTGTTATCCCCATTGCTGAGATGGGGAAACTGAGGCCCAGAGCTGGTGGAGGGCTTGCCTGAGATCACCCTCAGTGAGTGTGGTGAGGCAGGTCTGGACCTCATACTCCCATCCTGCTTGCGAATGTCATATGCTTGTCAGCATTGAGACGTTGCCTCTTTGAGATCATGCTGCTTTAAGTTACATGTTCCAGCTCTGGGTTCAGATAGAAGCAAGTTCGATCCCTCCCTCTTCGCCCCCTGCCCATTATGTTCAGCTGTAGGAATGTGGCCAAGCCACCCCCCGACCCTGGGTTCCTAATGAGGGGCATCTAAGAGTCTAGGCTCTGGCTCTGTGTGGCTGGGGTTCAAGTTCCAGTGGCCTCCCGCATGCTGCATAATCCTGGCCAGTGACTTCCTCGCTCTGTGTCTCAGTTTCCTCATCTGTCAAATGAGGTGATAAATAATAGGACCTGTTTCATGGGGCCACTGTGGCAATGAAATGAGTCACAGGTAAAATTCCTGGAGTCCTGCTGCAAGGGAAGTGCTCCATCAATGCTCCTCTTTGCTATTATTTTACAATACTCCTTACAGGTATAAATGTAAATGTATAAATGTAAAGAATGCAATACATATTTTATTATACTCTTTAACAACTCAATGCTGGGCCTTTCAAGAAGGCAAAATCCACAGTGCATCAGCCACCAAAGCCTTGCAGAGGGCAATGTGGCCGTGATGTTCCTGTGTCTCAAGCCTTTCATCCATCCATCCATCCATCCATCCATTTAGCACTTGAGCTTCCCTGCCCCCCTCTCTTCCTCATCTCCTGCTCATCCCAGACTGTGTGCCTTTGCTCACACCATTCTCTCTTCTAGAAGACCCTTTCTGACCCCTCCATTCCCAGGGATCACTCTTCTCCAGCGAGTTGGCAACACATCCTCTAGGAAGCTTTCTCTGACCTCTAGGACTCCTCTGTGATGACATTAATCCTGGCTGGTGTCGCTCGTTAGTTTCATGTCTCTCTCCCCCATTTAATACCATCAGCAAGTAATGAACACATACTGATTGCAAGCTCCCTAGCTGAGAAGTGAAGAAGTAAATGTGGCTGGACCATGCGTTGTGATCTGGCAGGTGCACTGAGGGGGCTCATTATGGATGGATGGGCTGGGTTCCCACTGTTCTCCCTCCCCAGTTACCTTGTCCTTTGAGAAGAGGGGGCAGTTTACCTGGGCATCCAGGTCATTACTCAGTTCCTGTCCGTCTTTCTGCTTTACTCCTGGTGGGGAGATAAGTGTAAGTGAAGGGCCCTTGAAGGATCTTGTGGGAATTTCAGGTTCCCAGAGCCCCAGTACGGACCAAGAGAGGATCTCAACGCCTCTCTCTACCTTCCTCACCGACCACGCTCCCCTCGCGCGGAACTCCCACCAGAACCAGGACCCCAGCCCGCCTGTCCGCTCACCATACACGATGGAGCGGCCCACTCCGGTGTGGTCGCTGCCAAATTTCCTCATCAGAGTCCCCGCCTTCTTGGAGGAAACCTTCCCATGAAACTTCTCCCGGAGGCGCCTGACACTCTTCTCCAGCTGGGGGATGGAGGAGTCAGGTGGGCTCCGAAGGTGTAAGGAGAAGAACGATCGCCCCTCCCCCATCTCTAGTCTTTCTCCTCTCTGCCCGAACTTGACCCTTGGTTTTGGCCTCAGCACCTCCTACCTCCATCCCTCCAAGGCATTTCCTGGAAAAAGCCAAAGTCCCCACCGGGCTTTGGGGGAGGGTGTGGACTGGGACGAACGTCCCAGGCTCGGGAGGAGGCCGGCCAGGTAACCCCTGGCCTCTGACCCTTGACACTGCAGCCCCCGCTTTTCGTCGAGGAGGCCGCATTTCGCTCAGGGGGAGGTGGCAGTCACTCTCCTTCTTGAAGGGGGACAAGCGCCAGCTAGGGAAAGGTCTGAGCTTCGGATGGAGTACCCAGGAGCTGTGAAGCCCCCTTCGCGGCCCCTGCCCCTCCCTGGCATCTCTCGCGGGCTCCCGGCCCAGTCGTAGTCATCTCCTACCTCCACACCTTCTTGAGACATGGTGGCGGCCGCGCAGGTACCCGCGAGGGTCCGCACTGCGCGCTCTGCGCCCCCCGTACTTGGGCGCGCCCGGCGGTCCAGCAGCACGCAGGGCAGGGGGCGGGGCTCGGGCCAGCTCCGCCTTTCCTTCCTGGCCCCTTCTTTCGCTTTCGATGGATGGGTTGGGGGCTGTGCGCCGGCTCCGCCCCGGCTCCGCCTCTGCTCTAGCGCCCCAAACCCAGGAGGGCTCGTGGGGTCTGCACCCTGCAGCGTAGCGCGCAGACCTTGGGTGGGGGAGGCGGTGCGGCCTCTGCAGTCGGTCACATGTCCCCACGCTGCGCGGGGTCCGCGTCTTCACGTCCTCGTGGGGGCGGGGCTGCATGGAAAGGCCGCTGCGAGTCTCCGCGCTGCTGCTCCCCCGAAGCTAGCGTTCCCCTAGTTCCTCGCGTTCTCCCCTCCCCCAGGAATCACGCGCTAATTAGGAGCAAGGACCCTTACCTCTTTCTGAGTCTTCTATCTGGCCCGATTCCTTCTCTGAACCTCAGTGTACCCCTCTGTAAAATGGGGATGATAAGAGTGACTACACTCTAGGTGTGTGTGGGTTTTGTGTGCTTGTGTACTTGGGTATTTGCCAGAATTCGAGACCCCGGGGAGGACGTTTAGTACCGCCTG